TCCTATTTATAGAAAAATTCCCCAGTAGTCACAAATATTAATGATCCTCACTTCCAAACTAACATAACCTTTCACAATGGACAGGTGGTCACTGACCTCTTAAACAAACATAAAGGAATGCAAAACCAAAAGGGAAATGTTTCTGAAGTTTTTCTTAATACTATTTGATATTAACACATTAGAGCTCTTAAATGAGCTAAGGAAAAATGTAGGATACAGGTAAGCACATTCAATGAAATATTAGCATTTTCTAATAGAGCTTTTGGGAGACTTCTCTATTATAAAACTACTTAAAGCCAGTGACTCAGAAACAAAGGCTTAGTAAAAGGAACTGACACAATAAAAAAAAAAAAAAATGAATATGTAATATTCTGGAGAAAGTCATGCTAATAAAATAATTCAAAGAGATGAGAAGTAAAAGCACATTTATTTAACATTATTAATATTTGCCCCAACATGCTGCCCTACTTACCCCAACCATTCTCCTCCATTTCAAGAAATAGTCTATGTATATACAAACATACCTATATGTGCCATTTTTTATTAATAGACTCATACTATAAATATTATTCTATAACTTGTTTTTACTCTTTATCATATACTTTAGATATCTTTCCACATAAGCATACATATTAGATATCTTTCCATATAAGCATACATATAAACATACTATCTTATTTTATTTAAAATCTGCATAATGGGAAAATTATGGACATGTCAAAATTCATTTAACCAAATCTTGATTAATAAATATTTAAGATGTTTTCAGTGTTTTGCTCAAATAAAAAGACTGTTTGAGATCTTTATAGTCCTTTGCCTCTATTCAAATAATATCATATATATATTAAAAAGTAATTTCTCAGAAACCCTCATTCATATGCTAATATTAAAAGTGAGAGAATTTAACCTATGAATTATTTGAAGTATTTTTGTGTATTCTGAATTAATAACTAATGAAGTGACATATTATACCTTATAGCGGTATTCTTTTCATATCATTGAACTAACAAAAGAATTTCAGATATCAAATATTTCCCTGAAAAACCCAAGTATTGTGCTTACAATCCTTAATGTAAATAGTAATAAAAGAAAAAATACTACATAAACTGTACCATGTGCCAAGGAATATTCCATACATCCTATATTTATTCACAGAATGTTAACACTATGAGTTGGATGCCATTATTATTACCATTTTACATTTAAGGAAAATGAGACATAAAGGAATTAAGTAATCTGTCCAGTTTCACAAAGGTATTAAGCTGTACTATCAGGATTCAGACCTAGGCAACCCACCATATTATGACTATACACGTACATATCTCTTTATATTTGTAGACTAAAGTTCTGTAGAAGTAGAATTCCTAAATCAAAGTGTATGTGCAAGCTGGGTTTTGATATATATTTCCAAATTATCCTCCAAATAGGTTACATTAGTTTTTATTTCTGCCAAGACTTCATGAGGGCTTATTGCTGTATAACCTACACAACACTGGGTATTGTCAAATTATTGAATCCTTGCCAATCTGGTAGATGAAATAGCTTCTCTAAAAAACACACAAAAAACTCATATTTAATTCTCATAGAATTACTGGTCATTTGCATTTATTTTTCACAAACTATCTGTTTGCTTGTTTCATTCATTTCTATCGGACATAATATTTCAACACAATAACAAAATTAATAAATTAATAAATTAATGCCTCAAGAAAAAAAGGCATAGGGTATGATTATTTATTATTGTATTATTTTCCATACAAACAATTGTAAACCTACTTTAGTCCCACCCTGTATTAGTTTAACTTTAAAGCACTAATGTCTTGTTAAAAAGATAGGTTTTCCTCTTGCATTACATGGAATTAATGGAATTACCTTAGATTATCTTGACAGTGCCAACAGACACATTAAATAACTAATTCTTGGAATAAAATTCTTAAGGAAAACCTAATCTTAAACTTATATCCTAAATTTAGAAACTATTCAGTGAAATGTTGCTAATTTTTTGCCTCAGTAAATATGTCCTCTATTACATTATCAAAGATGTAGTCTTGAATTTATTATATTTTTGTTCATTGCTTCATCACCATAATTAAGAAATAATGATTTATAAAAATAACTAGTTTTGCTGTCCTTATACCCTGAAAAGCAATAAACCAAATTCTTCTTTGGCTATAAAAATCTTTTATTTTACATAAACTTATAATAGGTAGCTATTTTATAAATATATATATATATATTTTTTTTAATTGATTTTTATACAGAGAGAAAGGGAGAGAGAGAGAGAGTTAGAAACATCGATGAGAGAGAGTCATCGATCAGCTGCCTCCTGCACACCCCCTACCGGGGATATGCCTGCAACCAAGTACATGCCCTTGACCGGAATCGAACCCGGGACCCTTCAGTCCCCGAGCCAAACCGGTCCCGGCTACGTAGCTATTTTTAATCTTACCACATTACACTCCAATATCTATCTGCTCATTCTTTCTTGATTATTAAAATAAATTGATCCATCCTATATAATAAAACCCTAATATGCAAATCGACTGAATGGCTAAACAACCGGTAGCTATGATGTGCACTGACCACCAGGGGGCAGATACTCAATTCAGGAGCTGCCCCCTAGTGGTCAGTGCACTCCCACAGGGCTCAAGGCTGGCAAGGGCAGCCGTGGTGGTGGGAGCCTTTCCAGGCCCTGGGCCTAAGCTTTCAGTCGGACATCCCCGGAGGGTTCCTGGACTGTGAGAGGACACAAGATGGGCTGAGGAACCAACCTCCCCCCCAGTGCACAAATCTCGTGCACCAGTCCTCTAGTTTTAGTATAAAATCCTTTAAAGAATTAACCCTTGGAAACTTAAATATATAGTAAATATATGTTTAATACATCTTTATTGTTGAAAGTATTATAGGTGTCCCATTTTTTTCCACCACTGACCCCCTGCACCCCATGCTTACCACTACCATCCCAGGCCTACCACACTATTGTACTAGCATATGTCCACAGTAAATATATTTTTGATGAATAAATTATTTGGGAGCAATGTAATAGTTAAAACACACACACACACAGGAGTAATTTATATCATATTCCTTCACCACACAGCACAGGAATTAAGAAATGGAATTTGTCACGAAAATTGAGAAACCCTACCATCATTCAACTCTATTGTTTAGAGCAGAATTACTCAACCTTGACACCTTTGACATTTTCACCAGATAATTCTTTGCTGTAGGAGGCAGTTCTACAACTGAAGGATTTTCAGCAGCATTCATGGTTTCTACCCACTATCAGGGGTCCTCAAACTTTTTAAAGTGGGGGCCAGATCACGGTCCCTCAGAGAGCTGGAGGGCCGGACTATATGAACTACTAATTCCTACTGTAACACCTCGGCTGCGCTCACTGCCCAAAAAACCTGGCGGGCCGGATCAGACTCCTCTGCGGGCCGCATGTGGCCCGCGGGCCGTAGTTTGAAGACCCCTGCGACTAGATAGATACCACTAACACTTTCCCACCTAATAAAATTTTTTAAAAATGTCTCCAGATATTTATTGTCAAATTTCTCCTCGGGACAAAACTCACCCAGGGTGAGAATCACTGGTTTACAGATAACTGACATTGTAACAGTATATCTAAAACCAAAGTGAAACTATTACGAAGGACTTCAAACCTTGGGACACATCTTCAAGAATCCCAAGATAGCTGCCAGGAAAAACCTTCTAACGCAGGTACTCCCATGCCTCCATTCCTCTCAGCAATAGTCAGTCCACCATAATTACTAAGCCTTCATCTTATACAAGTGACAAGCATTGTTAGTTTCTTCAATCCCATTCAGTTACTTACCTACAACACTGTTACTGAACACAGAGATTGTTTAATTGTATTAGATGGAGACTTTTGGCTGACTCTTTTGAGATAAACTTCCAACAGGTCATATGATATAACATGCCCAATATTAAAAAGCAAATGAGTACATAATCATTTCTAGTTGTGTTTCTGGCACAGAAACAAGTACATATAGGGCTTATTAATAGATATGTTTCTTTGTGTTGCTCCTGATAAAATCAAGAGATAGGTTAAATATATGAGTAGAATCGCTTAATTATACTTTCTGAATTCAAAAAGGTACTATTAACAGACTTTAACATTTGGAAAGGACTAAAAAAACACATTAAGATTTCTCAAAAATCCTTAAAATTTTATGAAATAGCAACAACAAAGTGAAGAAAGAACTCTTTTACTAGCATATAATAGAAGACATCCCTGATTAAAGAGAACTCAATTAAAAGTTAAAGTTTTGTACTAAATGCTGCTGACATCTACACGTCTCTTATCACAAAACACTCATGTAAGTCTTCATTTCCAAAATGGTTCTGCCAGTAAGTTCTGAGAAGGAAATGGGTTAAAAAAAAAAAAAAAAAAAAAAAAAAAAAAAAAAAAAAAAAAAAAAAAAAAAAAAAAAAAAAAAAAAAAAAAAAAAAAAAAAAACTTTGAAAAGAATAAAGTATTATTCCAATATAAGATATTAGCAATAACTGAATACATTGCACAGAATTTTGATTTTTGGAATTATCAAAATTAATTAGTGAACAATGAGTAAAAGTTAATATACTTCTCAAAACATTTCATTCTGACCAAACAACAATCAGTTTATTTATTTCTGGTTTTAAAATGTTTTTATTGACTTCAGAAAGGAAGGGAAAAGGAGAGAGACAGAAGAATTAATGATGAGAAAGTATCATTGATCAGCTGCCTGCTACATACCCCTCACTGGGGATTGGGCCCACACCTCAGAAATGTGCCCTGCCTGGAAATTGAACAGTGACATTCTGGTTGACAGGTTGACACTCATCCACTGAGCAACAATGGCCAGAGGGTTTATTTTTAATTTACTTTTCATTACTTGCAAAAAATAAAAATAAAAATTGGGATTTTAAAACTCAGAATGTACAACTATAAATAAAAATAGTAATATTTAAAGCGTTCAGGTTTTGCAAATACTTACTTTACTTGCAAACTTTCTGCTGTTAAATTATTCCACATAATCTCATTTGCCTGAAGATTTTCATTTTCTTCTAATAAGGAAGTATCAAACTCAACTTCTTCCTCTTTAGCAGCTATTGTTCTAAAAAAGCATGCCAAACAATTTTGATTAATATGAATACTCTATCATGATATATCTTAGTACACACCAAAGGCAGAATATATTTTCTCATCAAAAACTATATTCACAAAGTAAACATCAATAAAATAAATCATATTAAACCCCAGGCAGCAAAGATCTAGTCATGTAGTTTCAGCCTTAATTTCCTCATTTATAGAATGTGGATATTAAGTGGTTTTATTCCTATCATGATGGTAATGAATATAAAATAAGATGATGAATGTTTGTAGAAGTAATTGATACATTATAAAATTTAATATAAAGTCATAATACTATTACTATAGAAATGTTAAAGAGACATTTTCATGGATGGATTAAAGAGATGATATCATTTCAGGCTTGAGAAATGATATAATGACAACCCTAACATTTTTAAAGATCACTATATAGGAGAAAAGACTTTGAAAATAATTAAAAGGAGACAAATTAATTTGAAATATCTAATGTCCAAACAAGCTCATCAGTATCTTATTTCAATTTAGTTAAATATTATATGATATAAAAAGTAATACTGCCATCAACACTGAAAGAAGAATGAAAATATCATACATACCTGTGAACATCTATAAAATCATTGTATTCTGTGCTAGGGTCTATCTGCTCAACTGACATTTGAATCTCTTTATGGACATTCACTATTTCCTCCGTAACAAGACTAGTTATCTGGCTGTATTCATCAAATATGCCTTTTCTGAAAACAAAAATAAAATTTTACAACATTTTAAAGTTTATCAAGAAAACATAGAACCAGAAAGGATTCAAAATAACAAACACAAGAAATGTAATATCAATATTTACAGATGGTAGTTTTATGTACCTTTACCAACCTGTATTTGAGGTGTCTAAATATAAGGTAGTGTTGATTGCTTTCTGTTTCTCAACATTATCATAGAAATGTTGGATTCCGTAACATGAAGCTGTGGGTCCACAGTAGTCTCTTTAATGTTTCTTTCTAATATCTGCAATTTCCTCATATGCCCAACCACTTGGGTCTCCTCTTGCTCCTGGGCCTCTGCTCTCCTAACTTCAATGACATCTAGATATCTCCTACTGGCCTCCACTCAGTTGCAAAAATGTCATAAAATATTTTAGTATTACCTAATAAATGCAAAAGAAAAACCTATTCTGTTGCAAAGACCTAGTCCCAACTTAAGAATGCTATACCATTGGTCATTACTGGCCTCAGCAACAAGTATGGACAGATAAGTTTATCCTGCATATTCCCAAATAAATATAAGGTATTCTCTGCTTTTCTTTTCCAAATCATTACCAAATTTATCTTATTATGAAGTATTTTCTCAGTTATTTTATTTTAAATAGTAAAATAATGTTTGGAAAAAGAAAATTAGACTTAAAATGCTCCAAGCAATGCTAGTTTGGAATAATCACAAAAATCACCTGATAGACACAATTTTTTAAAAGGAGAGAGACAGCCGAAACCAGTTAGGCTCAGTGGATAGAGTGTCAGCCTGCGAACTAAAAGGTCCCAGGTTCGATTCCGGTCAAGGACATATATGGTTGCAGGCACATCTCCAGTAGGGGGTGTGCCAGAGGCAGCTGATCAATGATCTCTCTCATTTATGTTTCTAACTCTCTATCCCTCTCTCTTCCTCTCTGTAAAAAATCAATAAAATATATTTTTAAATAAAAAAATAAAAGGGGGGAGACAGAGAAATTTAATAATAATTTAGTAAGTATCCCTGAGGATATGAACTAATAATAGTTCAAAGTACTGAATGATACAAATATAAATAAGCCTATCTAGATACCTTATAAAGCAATACAGTAAGTCGTTATGATGTGGAGATCATTAATATTCGCCTTTAAGACAAATGGGGGTGGGGGTGGGGGCATGAATTCTCCTAACATTATATGAATGAGTACTTGTGACATAGATTTCAATTTCAGTGATAGCATGATGGTTGGATTTTTTAAATGTTAGGTCTGAAACAATTTCTTAGTAGTAAACACACTGTGAGAAACCATCATATGTCTTTAAAAGATGTCCTGGTGTTATGAAAATAATTTTATTGAAGATTCATGTGAAGAGTCTGGAAACTATTAATTCATTAAATTGAGAATAGGAACATAAATATTTCTGAATAAACACTACGTAATTTAAAGTAGATGTAACTATTAATAAATGTATTTATTAAATATTTTAAGTAGAAATTTCATTATTTTTAATAACAACCTTATAAATATACATATTTAAGTTGACTAAAAACACTTTATCTTCTTGGGAAAATAAGGGACCACCAAACCCAGCTAATACAGAAGATGAAGTCTACCAAAGGGTGGCTTACATTTTTCTATTGTCTTAAATCGATATGTACGGTAAACGTGTGCATTTAGCCAACATACACTGTTAGCTCCCTGAAGGCAAACATTGTGGCCTACACATCTTTATATTTAATGTGCTTTGCAGACAGTAGAAGTCTAATAAATATTTGTTGATTTTAATCTTATACAATAAGAATATAGCAAATAAACCTTCAAAAAATCTTTTCTTCAGGCTTTTCTGTTGCTCAAATTTTAAATTCCCAACCCTGTGGAGACAGATTTCCACTTCTTAATACTTGTCAACTACTGAATTTTTTTCATATAAATTTCCTTTTAATTGGAGCAAAACAAAAACATTAAAAAAAAAAGGGGGGGGGGTGGAATTCTTGGGGTTGGCTAGAAGGTTTAAAAGAGAAGCATAAACTACAGGAATACCTGAAGTGAAAATCAAGAAGAATTTGAGGTAAAACAAGTATGAAACACCCATGGGTCTGGGTCAATAAGGAAGCTCACAAAACATGAGACAAAAGCTTAAGTAGGAGAGCAAGTAATGTTAAAATTATTGTATGACAGGATGTTATGTCAAATACAAAATGTAACTCACAGTGCCTTTATCATTTCTTCTTGCATCATCTGTAAGGAGTCGAGAAGCAGAGGAAGGGTGGTGTCATAATACTGATTCTGATGAAGCTGAGCCCCTTTCAATGCCAATACATATTGATTATGCAACATATGAAGTTTCATTGTGGCTTTGTCGTAACGATCCTTGGCCTTTTCCGGTTCTTTCCCTGAAGAAAGCATTGAAGACAGTTATAAGAGAGATAATAAACAAGTTTTATCTTCTCTGTGTGCACACAGAGCCACCACTATGTTATGTTATTTCACTCGTTTTATGGCGAATCAAAAGTTTGTTGAACATACACTATGTTCTTAGCTCTATGCAAAGTACTATTTATTTGCCAATATTTTGTATAGAGGCCGCTCTGAAGGAGGCAGGCACTGCAGTAACTGTTTGGTGAATGAAGGATAATGTTCAATGTAAAACTGTACAGATATATGAACCTTCTCATGTTCAAGCAGCAGCTTACACCAAATTGGAACAACAGCGCATATATATCACCAAGAAAATAAGGAATTTTGTAAATGTTAAATTTTGAGGTCTATGTTTAAGATATCAATAAAGACAAGGAAAGCTGGGGGACACTTTGTGGAGAGAACAGACCTTAAAAGATGAGACAAATCTAGAAAGGTAAACAACAGGAGGGTGGGGGGGCTTATCTAGGAAGGGGTTTGGGATGGGAATGGGGGAATAAGGACAATTATGTGAGACCATAATCAATAATATATATAAAATTAAAAGGCAGACTTAAGACTGGAAAATTGTAGAAAATTTAACAAAGATTATATTTTTATGAGTTTATATAAAAGTCAATAAAACACTGAAAGTTTACATTGAAAAAAGAAAAAGAAAAAGAAAGAAAGAATAGGCAATAGTTTCTCCCTTTCTTCTTCCTTCCTTCCTTTCTTCAAGGAAAGAAGGGAGGGAGGGAGAGAGGAAGGGAAGGAGGGAGGAGGAAGGAAAAGAAGGAAGCCTTAAATGTACTATTAACAGGCTTTAACATTTTAAGAAGTTTTGAGAAATCTTTATTTTTTTAAATATATCTTTATTGTTCAGACTATTACAATTGTTCCTCTTTTTTCCGCCCATAGCTCCCCTCCACCCTGTTCCCACCCTACCCTCTGCTCTTACCCCCACCCCAGTCCTCATCCATAAGTGTATGATTTTTGTCCAGTCTCTTCCCACACCCCCTACATCCTTTCCCCCCAAAGAATTGTCAGTCCACTCCTTTTCTATGGCCCTAATTCTATTATATTCACTGTTATATTTAATGTGCTTTGTTTATTCTATTCATCAGATTTTTTATTCACTTGAGTTTGAGATTCATTTGTTGACAGATATGTACTTATTGTTCATAGTTTTTTTTTAATATATTTTATTTTTTACAGAGAGGAAGAGAGAGGGATAGAGAGCTAGAAACATTGATGAGAGAATCATCCATCAGCTGCCTCTTGCACACTGCCCACTGGGGATGTGCCTGCAACCAAGGTACATGCCCCTGACCGGAATCGAACCCGGGACCTTTCAGTCCGCAGGCTGACGCTCTATCTACTGAGCCAAATCGGTTTCGGCTGTTGTTCATAATTTTTATCTTTACCTTTTTATTCTTCTTGCTCTTCTTAAAGAATACCTTTCAGTATTTCATATAATACTGGTTTGGTGGTGGTGAACTCCTTTAGCTTTTTCTTATCTGTGAAGCTCTTTATCTGACCTTCAATTCTGAATGATAGCTTTGCTGGGTAGAGTAATCTTGGTTGTAGGTTCTTGCTATTCATAACTTTGAATATTTTTTTTCCACTCCTGTCTGGCTGATTTTTCCATACGACTGTCAGCTGATTTTTCAATAATTTCTGTTGAAAAATCAGCTGACAGTCATATGGGTGCTCCCTTCTAGGTAACTGTTTTTCTCTTGCTGCTTTTAAGATTCTCTCTTTGTCTTTTGCTCTTGGCATTTTAATTATGATGTGTCTTGGTGTGGTTCTCTTTGGATTCCTTTTGTTTGGGGTTCTGTGAACTACCTGGACTTGTAAGTCTATTACTTTCACCAGGAGGGGTTAAGTTTTCTGTCATTATTTCTTCAAATAAGTTTTCAGTATCTTGCTCTCTCTCTCTCTTCTGGCACCCCCATAATTCGGATGTTGGTATGTTTGAAGTTGTCCCAAAGGCTTCTTACACTATCTTTATATTTTTGGATTCTTTTTTCTTTTCCAGTTGGGTGTTTTTTTGCTTCTTTGTATTTCAAATCTTCGACTTGAGTCTTGTGACCCTCTAGTCTGCTGCTGGATCTCTGTATATTATTTTTTATTTCAGTCAGTGTATGCTTAATTTCTAATTGGTCCTTTCTCATATCCTTGAGGGTCTTGCTAAATTTATTGGCCTTTTCTAGAAAATTCTTGAAAAACCTTATAACCATGGTTTTGAACTCTATATCCAGTCTTTTGCTTTCCTCCATTTCTTTCGTTTGTGACCTGTTTCTTTGTCTCCACATTTTGGCTGCTTCCCTGAGTTGATAGAGTGGCTTTGTGTGCTAGGTGTCCTATAGGGCACAGGTGGTTCAGCCTCCCCAGTTACTTGAAGTGGACATTCTTGGTGCACCCCTTTGTGGGCTGTGTCCACAGTCTTGTTGTAGTTAAGCCTTGATTGTTGTTGGTATCCCTGGGAGGATTTGACCTCCAAGTCAACTGGCTGTGAGGATCAGCTGTGTCTACACTGGGAGAACTTCTATACTCAACTTGGATGGGGTAGAGTCTCAGGATGGAGCAGACAGCAGTGGCTTCCATTCAGCCCTGTCCTAAGAGGCCCCTGGGTCTCAATGTTCCTTGGTAATCATTACAAGCACCTCTGAGAGAAAGCCGCCCTAGAGTTTTGTCCACTGCTATACAGTCCAATTTTTCCCCGAATGAGTCTGGGTCCCCAGAGTCTCACCCGGAACTGGAGTTTGGAGCAGTCAAGAGCTTTTGTCTCCCTCCCAATTGAGAAAGCCAGCTGCGTACTCAGTTGCCAGCCCTCTCCACACGCACGTGCCTCTGTACCTCTGCACTTCTGCAGCTCCTCTGAATCTCAGTGTGCTTTTCTCTTTCCTTCTAGTTGTAGAATTTCCACTCAGCCATCCTTCCTGTGGTTCTGGATGGTGTCCATTTTTTCTTTTAGTTGTAGTTTTGAAATTGTTGTGCAAGGCAGCAATTTAGGTGTTTACCTATGCCGCCATCTTGGTTTCTCTCTTTGAGAAATCTTAATGTGTTTAGTTCCTTCCTTCCTTCCTTCCTTTTTTTCTCCCTTTCCTCTCTCCCTCCCACTCCTTCCCTTTTTAAATTTAAATTCTTCATTGTTGAAAGTATTATATATGTCTCCTTTTTCATCTCCCTGGCTGCTCCCACCCCCAGCACATGCCCTCACCCCCATACTGTCTCTCTTCCTTCCTTTCATTCTGATTATCACCAAGAATTGTGCTAAACACTGGGAACTCAGTATTCAGCAAAGCAGAGTCTTGACATATTAACTGAGACAAAAAAATTTCTTTCTGAATGAACATTACACAGATTTTAAAATCCTATATAATAAAGAGTTAATATGTTAATTAGACCAAAAAGCAGAACGACCATCCTACTGGGGATGTGCCCGCAACCAAGGTACATGCCCTTGACCGGAATCAAACCCGGGACCTTTCAGTCCACAGACCGATGCTATACCACTGAGCCAAACTGGTTTTGGCTATTTGTACAGATTTTTAAACTGCATAGTTCCCATCTGTCTTTCTAGCTGGTGCAGAATTCTCTAAATATGCAATACTCACCTCCCTAAGATTTTATAATCCAAAATAACATTAGAAAAGTTAACAAGTTCCTAGATACTTTTTTCCTTATCAGTTTTAGTGTATGACAAATAAGCTAAAGAAAACTATTATAGTCAAATCTAATTATCATAATTATTAACACAATTTGAAAAAAAACATTTTAAAGCCTTTGAAAACATTGAAGGCAGATTCCAGTACATTAAACTAATGGTAATAAATTATTTTGAAAACTTTGGACTTAAAACTAATTTTTTTGGGGGGGGATATGTTTTCATAGAGATTGGGGGAGGGGGTGCTGTTTTTTGTAGTCTACAGCTCACATATACTTGTGAATTGGTTACAATGTGTACTTGACACAGTCACATGATTGATTGATTATTCTGTCTATTCTATCCTGCACTCTCCTTCCCTTGTAGAAAAATGAAAAGTTTGGTACAATTTGGGAAAAAAATTCTATTATATTTTTTCCTGACTTTTTTTTTAAATATATTTTATTGATTTTTTTAGAGGAAGGGAGAGAAGGATAGAGAGCTAGAAACATCAATGAGAGAGAAACATCAACCAGCTGCCTCTTGCACACCCCCTACCGGGGATGTGCCCGCAACCAATGTACATGCCCTTGACCATATTGAAACTGGGACCTAAACATAGTGCTGAAGTGCTGTTTAGTATTCTTATGTTTAAGGTGTGTATGACGTGACTTACAGAAAAAATAGATGTGTTAGATAGCTTTTAGTCATGAGTTGTAACACTGTGGTTCAATGTTAATGATTCAACAATATATATTAAACTAGTGGCTTGAAATTCATGCACATTAAAAGGGGATTAATTAGATAATTTAATATTGCTATTTGCCCTCTGTCTAATAGAATTATCAGAGATGAAAGAAAGTTAGTAAAATGTATATGAAAACCTTCCTCCTGTCAGAATCTGGGGCACACCATGGGACCTAGAGCCAAGTCCCCGCCCATCTACATGCACCTCAAAATCGCATGAGACCTAGACCCGTCCCCCTCCCCGTTGGGTTAGATCCAGACCCAGCCAGTCCCACCCTTGTCAAGCCCCACTGGGCAGGGGAACTAGCCTCAGGTCCCCTAGCCCAGTACAGGACAGGGGGCGTGGCCAGAGGTCTCCAGATGGTGTGGGGGGCATGTCTTGAGGTCCTCATCAAGCCATGGGAGGCGGGGGAGGGGGGGGCAGGGGGGGGGGGGCATGGTCTGAGGTCCCCCATCAAGCTCTGCCAGGCCAGGGGGCGCAGCCTCAGATCCCTCCGCCCAGCACCGGGAGGGGAACAAAGCCTCAAGTCCCCTTTCAAGCCCCACTGGCAGGGGGGGCACAACCTCAGGTTGAGTTCCCCCAATCCAGCACTGGGGGTG